ACCAATAATCCTGGGATTATCGGCGAGACCCTTGTCGTTGGCGAGACCCTTGTCGTTGGCGAGACCCTTGTCGAGATGGTTTCAACGAGATCTCATGGCGAGTAGGCTTCACGTCCTCCGGATTGTAGGCTATGGTGGTGGTGCTGGCGCTATGATTCGGTCATCTAAACCCCTCAGGGGGTATGCCTTTTACACCGTGAATCACCTTAGTCTTCAAGTAGAACTCGGAGACTACGGACCCCGCATGATATAGTATAAACCCGATTCTCTCCAAGTAGGACTCTGCTATTCACTTGCTGTCACACCCCAATCTGGCACCGCCGGACAACGGCACCTGATAGGAGCGTGTCATAGGAAAAACGGCGCGAACTGCTTCCTACGAAACTGCGATCACAGTACCAGTCCCAGGACTTAGCACTGGTACCCACGGTGACAAATATGAATCATTGCAATCCTTAAATTTAATAGAGAACTTATTTACCTTAACTTAGGTTGCAGCTCAGGACAGCCTGAGAATACAACCGACGACGCGGACGAGGAAACATCAACAGCAGCAGCAGCAGCGGAACCAATGAACTAACACCTAACACCACAGGCGACGGCTGGGAACCAGGACGAAACCTTAATCTTCACTTCACTTCATCTTGACTTCAAGGCAGAGGAACTATATTTATATAGAGCAAGGGTGAGTACTTTCGCACTCAGCAAGTCACGGGAATTTAGGTGTCTGATGCAAGCTTGGAAGAGAGGCAAGGTTGTTTTGCAAATCTTTTGTTTTGGAAATCATTTTGAAATCACTAAGTGATTTATTTCTTTCTAAGTTTGGGCCAAAAAGAGATTTGTGTCTCGATTCGACTTTAAGAGATGTTTTTCAACAGCTCATTTGGTAATGTACCGACCTCCCGGTTCAGATCATTACTTCTCGGCTCCCAGAGCCATTTCACTTGATTAATCGGCTCCCAAAGCCTTTTCATTTTCTCGGACTCCCAGAGTCCAGCTGCCCAGCAGCACAACAATCCGCTTCCACTCAGGAAGCCTAGTCTATGATGCCCGTAGACATCCCGAATCACACAGATTCGTTTCTTGACCACTCAGGTCATCCATCTGCCACATAGGCTGATTCTGGTAACGATTCCCAAACCACAACAACTTTTCACAAAGCACAGGCAAACAAATCTACGCTACAGGAAACACCTCACATCCGCCCATGACCGTGGGCACGGCTGTTCGAACAGTTAGTTAACCTCTGCAGAGGAGGTACACTTTACCCACACGACATTACTAACCTGGATCACCCAGCCGGAGACCCTAAGGCCGAGATAACGGGCCGGCCAGCCTAAGGAGACACGGCCCATTAGGGCGCGCGGGAGGCGAGGAGAGAGGGAACCGATGGACCGGGCTCACCTCGCGTGGTCCCGAGTGGGACCCGCTTGTTAGCGGCTCGGCTCACCGTGAGCGGGGCGCACGCGGAGCGCGCTAGGGTTTGGGAGGGGGAGTCGCAGCGCACGTGCGGTTTGCGGTGGACGCGGATGCGGCGGGCCCACGAGCAGCCTCATGGCTCGCGGTGGACCGCGCGCGCGCGAGCGGGGGTGCAGGGGAGCGTTGGACCAGGGTCAGCCTTGAACCGGTCGCAGCCGAGATGGCGCCGACGTGGCGCCTTCGTGGCAGCCACGCGGGCCAGCGGGAGGAGGAAGAAGGGGAAGGCCGAGATGGACGGCGGACGGCGGCCGAGTTCACCGGAGCTCGACAAGACGACTATGGTCAAGGGGGAGCACACCGGATTGGCGAGCGGCACAAGAGAGGACGAGCCAATGGCTCGGATCGCGCCGGGAGAGGTCAAGGGCGGTGGATTGCGACGGCGGCGGCTGGCGGCGTGCAAAAGGGGAAAAACTGGCGGGGCGGCGAGGGTTCGATTCAAGGCGTCGGGAGCATCTCCGTTGTTCGGGGAACTCATTCTCGGGGTCGGATGGGACGGAGGGGCCTCGAGGGAGGCCGACGAGCGGCGGCTCCCCGGAACGGGTGGCAATGGTGGCGAGGCCATGCCGGGCGGCGGCGGGGCTTCGTCTACGCGCGTTCAGGAGGGCTACCGAGCTACCACGCGAGCTAAAAGAGGGAGAGGGCAAGCGAGAAGGGAGAACGGAGGGAGGCACTACCGAGCCGAGACGGGCGCTGTGACGAGCGGCCGACGGCGCGGGGCATGATCGCTACGGCCTCGGGCCGGGGAAGAGGAAGATGAGGGTGCCCGGAGTCCGCGTTAGCTCCTCGCGCGCACGCCGGCTTCACCAGCACACACGGCGGCGGAGGGAGGCAAGGACAGCGGCAGCAAGGCGGCGAGGGTGGCAAGAACAGAGAGAGAGAGCAGGCGAGCGGCTTGGCTGTGGTTTTATAGGCGTGGGGTGTGGAGCTTCGAGGGGAAGGAACCGAGCACGGGCAGTCAAGGGGAGCTCGGTTGGGTCAAGGTGGGGGCGACAGTGGAGGTGACAATGGCGCTGGTCAGGGAAAAAGAAGAAAAGGGGAGAGAAAGGGAGCTCTGCCCATGCCATTTTGGGAGAAAGGAGGAGGGAGAGAGCGCGAGCTCTGGCTCCGCGTTTTGGAAGCATGCGGCATGGGGGCGTCGGGACTGGGCGATGACAGCGGCGATGACTGCAAAAAAGCGAGCGGGGTTCGGCGGCTGCACGGCGTAGGCGTGGCAGGGCTGACGCGGCGGCGACTGGGCGGCAGCGCGGGCACGGGCGGCGACCGGGCGACGGTTGCCACCAGGGCGCGCGCGCGCGGGGGAAACGGCGGCCGACCGAAAATTGAATGGCGGAGAGCGGGGGATTTGACGCCGGTGGAGGAGCTCGACGAGAGAGAGAGAGAGAAACAGAGAGGGAGAGAGAGAAAGAACGAGAGGGCGAGAGCTCTCTCTCTCTCGGCTCGGCTCAGCTCGGCGCGTGCAATGCACGTGCGAGGCTGAGGGAGGAGATGGGCCAAGGGAGGAAGAATCGGCCCAACGACCAAGAGGGAGTCAAAATAGACTTCTGCTTAGAATTTGAATTGGAGAGAATTGCAGCTTGGATTTGAATCTAAATTTGATACTTGTGCACAAGGGTTCAAGGAGATGAGGAAGGAAACAAAGCGGGAGTTTGATACTTTTGGGAACAATTATTTGGAGAGGATTCAAAGGAGGGGATTGACTTTAGGAATTTGATTTCGGAGACTCGAATCGGAATTGGAAACTTGAGGTGGGGGATTTTGATGAGGCGATTTTTGAATTCGACGAGAGGGATCAAGGAGATTTATATCGAGATCCACGGCACGACTTAGACTCAGCACTCAAAGAATGAAATTTTCGCATATAGGATTTTGCCGAAATAGTTTTTAACGCCTCACGAAATGCGGAGCGTTACACTTGCCCGCGAGGGTAATTTCCATAATCTCTTGATAATTACCTTATCGTATACGGAAACATATCATACATACGAAAACATGCCGTATCCACATATTCCATAAGTCATAGGATATGAGATATGCCTTATCCGTAACCATGACAGTAGCCCCCCGACTTCAACTCAAATGAGTACTCGTTGTCATCCGAGACTTCACAGTCAACGTTGTCATGCTCACTAGGTCGTTCTCGATGAAAATCGAGAAGGACATGGAGTATGCGGCATCATTGAAAGAAAATTTATTCTAACCCACAGCACACTGCATATCTCTAGATACTTCTCTTGATTTATTTTGTTTTACAGAGCCTAGCAATTTTTTACACTTATTAATTTCCAATTATTTCTCAAACATTGTTGTGCCACGTGGACCAATCAACAATAGGCAAAACTGCCGGCTTGAGAAGGATTGATTGATATTGTTTAAGTTATCATAAACAACATCAATTTAATGGTTTATAGCTTTTTTTCAATGATCGATCAAATATGATGATTATATAAACTTATATTATTTAGTTATCTTATACGCTATTTCTACTATTATCATACCAAGCTCCCGTAATATTGTGCGGGATTTCATGTAGTTTCGTTAAGAATGTGCCCTTGTCAAGTAACATGGCATTGCTAGTATTTTGTGCATATCTTGTGCCGTTCTTGTAAGGGACACAAATGCAATATGTTGGAGGAAATAATCAAGACTTGAATCCTGACAAGTTCTTTTAGGGGGAGAATCTTGACAAGTTGGACCATTTGAATTCATGCTTCTATGATTTTCTAAACAACTATTGCCCACTCCAATCAGGAGGGCAAATAATATATTGGTAGGGTAGATCTCCATATTCGATCTGCTGATTTAAATAAACTTGAGTCAATTTCCGGCAAATATAAAGCCCGTAAGCCAGCTATGTTCTTAGGGTTCTGTTTTTTTACAAAAGTTCAGGTATGATAGCTGGCCACGTCCAACTATAAACAGGGATTATCTATAGAGCTCAAAATAAAATCCCATCCAATCACTTTTATTCTCTCTCAATTTTATTATTGGTTGCTACACAGAGCTGGTTTCTTCGTAAGAAATGATTTCTTCATCTTTTTTTTCATCTCTTCTCATTAACTATTTTATCGCCTCTTTTTACTTATGTGACTGTTTTTTTTTTAAATACGCGAGAGACGCATCTTTATATTAAGAAGGAATAAAAGTATTTACAGAGCGGGCCGAAAAATCAAAAACACGAAGGGGACAAGATACAGGAGGGGGAGGAGGAAGAAAATAAAAGTCTAATCTCCCAACGAATGTGACGAACTTCCATCCGACATAGGTGACTGTATATTTAACGGTATGTAAGCTAGGTGTGAGAAAGAGGGTTTGGACTGCTCTAATGCCTTTGCTCTAATCCTGAGCACTAGCTGTTTTGCATGCTGCGCGCGCATGTGGACGGATCCATTATCTGCTGTCTGGTAATTAAGCAGTACTGGTGACTTAGGAGTAGATGCCAGGTTATCCAACACGTGAGCTCGTGCTCCTCACTACGGACATACTGATCAGAAGGTTGACCTTGGCGTCTATAAATTGCGGGATTATGTGAACAGAGTAGACACGAAGCAGATCAACCAATCATCAGAATGAGGGGACGGTCCCGAGTTTTTCTCCTCGCCTTGGTGCTCTTCCTCGCGCTGCAGGCGCCGGCGTCCGCAGGCACAAAGGCAATGCTCTTTCTTCACTTCTCTCTCTTACCCTCTCGATCTATTCATCATACATGCCCTCAATATTTTTTAAAAATATATCCGCCAAAGTCATTTTGTTCTTTAATTGCATGTCCTCTCGTTTCTCTTGTATGTCATTCGAATATTTATGAAAAATATTTTTTTAAAAAAATGTATTTAATGGATTTTTTAATCATACATGGAGATTATATTTTTAAGGGGATGCTCTTTTACTTCTTGCCACTCAAATAGTTTTACAAAAAAAAATGGCAACATATATAACATATTCATATGTGATTTAAATTTGATCAATTATAAATCAACAACTAAATTCAATGAGAAAATCAAACTAAACTGTAACGTGTACTACTTACCGTCGTATTTATTTATTTATTTCTAATTTAGAGTTACAAAGAGTGATATATCACATATTAATTTGTGTTGTTAAATTTATTTAATTTTTATAACTATTTCGATGATATATGACAGAAAACAGGGTATATATTCCTTAAAACTGCAAAAATGTTTTTCCATCGTATATTCGTCACGTACAATACAAGCAAGTCAACAAATATAGGACTGCGATTAAATGTTCTATTGACGATCTCTAATCCATGAAGCGGGGTACTTTCGTGCATGCAGACTTATGTGATCGTCTTTGATGGCTTACCAGCTTCTCCTTCTGGTTTGCTTGCTACAGTCGTCACCAGGTCAGAAAATACTAGTGTGGCCGTTATGGATGTCGGTGCTACCGTACTAGGCTACTAGCTATGTACTCCTACATCACTAATGTGTTCATTTTGTGCCGTAAAAATAAACAGCTTTCAGTTACTGTACGTCTTGAGCCCCATCCAAGTGATCGTGGTGCAGATCGATGAGAGTTTCGTAGGAGTCATCAAGCGTACGCCACATATATCATCATGTTATAGTGTGTTCCCCCCTTGGAGTTTGCAGTTCATACCTGTCACTGACGAGCGCGTTCTTTTTTTCGCGTACTTTGGACTCAGAGCTGCCCGGCGTGCTGGCCGTGATCCCCGACGTCCTGCACAAGGTCCACACGACGCGTTCCTGGGATTTCCTCGAGCTAGAGCGAAATGGCGCGGCGACCGGTGCGTGGAAGGACGCCGCGAAGTACGGGGTGGACGCTATCATCGGCAACGTCGACACAGGTACCACTACTTGAAAAATGATATTCGAGACGATCAAAATGGATTTCACGAGCGACTGGTACAACCGCTAGCAACCAAAAACTAATGAAAATCGAATTTTTTAAATTAATTTTTCAATGGATTTTTTTTTAAAAAAAACGCACTAAGAGCACCCACAATAGTAAAGTAAGGTGCTCTCTATAAAAATGTACATCTCAGCAATAGACTAGATTGATAGTAAACCACCTCAATAGTATGTCTACATGGGTATCTGTAGCTCTCTCATCCATTGCCTCGTTTTTCTCTATAAACTATCTCCAGTTTAGTAGATAGATTTACTCTCTCTCTCTTCATTTAATCTGTTCCAAGTAGAAAAATATGCTGACATGGATCTCTTGTAGAGAGTCTATAGATAACCATTGCGGGTGCCCTAGAATATGAGGAAGTGAAATTGAGAAACACAGCCCCAAATAATGAACACAGAACGATCGGAGCGAATCAGTTATTCCGTGCATCGGTACATGCTTCCCGATGAGATACATGCGCGAGATAACTTAAAATAATCACCCCAAGATGACATGAGGTTAACAGAATCAAATCCCAAGAATACGGGAACTAAAAAGTCAATTCAAACCTCGCAAAATGGTAGCGTCGCCATGGGCGCAGTGCGCCTGTGCCTCTGTTGGATTACGGGATCCCTGGTGGCCTGGTTCAGATGTGCTGTCGTCCTATCTGCTGTACTGAAGTGCTGTGCAGTTAGCCATAGCCGGAACCTGTTCTGATTCCTGAACTCCTGATTCTTATTTTCTGTGCGTGCACGTACTCCCTACAAATGAAGGTGTATGGCCGGAATCCGCGAGCTTCAAAGACGACGGCTATTCAGTCCCGTCGAGGTGGCGCGGCAAGTGCATCACTGGCAACGACACGACCTTCAAATGCAACAAGTAACTCCACTGTCCACAGCTGCTCATCAAGCTGCATGCAACTAATGCAGTAAATTTTCTGGCGAGAAACTAACATGTCGTACATGCAGCAAGCTGATCGGCGCGGGGTTCTTCAACCTCGGCTTCCTAGCGTCGGGCTTGCTGCAGGGGAAGCCGCCAAGCCAGGCTGCAGAGCTGTACACGCCACGGGACTACATCGGGCACGGCACGCACACGCTGTCCACCGCCGGCGGCGGGTTCGTGCCGGACGCCAGCGTGTTCGGCCATGGGAAGGGCACGGCCAAGGGCGGCTCGCCGCTGGCGCGGGTCGCCGCCTACAAGGCGTGCTACGCCGAGGGCTGCTCCAGCTCGGACATCCTCGCGGCCATGGTCACGGCGGTGGAAGACGGCGTGAACGTGCTCTCGCTCTCCGTCGGCGGGCCGGCGGACGACTACCTGTCGGACCCGATCGCCATCGGCGCGTTCTACGCCGTCCAGAAGGGCGTCATCGTCGTCTGCTCCGCCAGCAACTCCGGCCCGCAGCCGGGCTCGGTCACCAACGTGGCACCATGGATACTTACGGTCGGCGCGAGCACCATGGACAGGGACTTCCCGGCTTATGTCACCTTCGGCGGCGTCACGAGCAGCATGACCATCAAGGTTTGACAATACGACCGACCAAATCACACTGTAGTTTGCGCACATGAGAATACGGCGTACTTTTGCTCATGCCATTGGGATTTGGGCAATTTGCAGGGGCAAAGTCTGTCAAACAGCACTCTGCCTCAAGGGCAACGGTACGCGATGATCAACGCGAAGAACGCCAACGCCGCAAACGTACCGAGCGAGAACTCGTAAGAAATCAAAAACTCAGATATCATCTCGACTTGCACCGATCGAATCGAACCGACGTCGATTTGCTTGCACTGCTGCGTGCGTGCAGGACGTTGTGCTTCCCTGGCTCCCTGGACAGCGACAAGGTGCGCGGCAAGATAGTTGTCTGCACCAGAGGGGTGAACGCCAGAGTTGAGAAGGGGCTGGTGGTGAAGCAGGCCGGCGGCGTTGGCATGGTGCTCTGCAACTACGCCGGCAACGGGGAGGATGTCATCGCGGACCCGCACCTCATCGCGGCGGCTCACGTCTCCTACTCCCAGTGCATCAACCTCTTTAACTACCTCGGGTCAACAGAGTAAGCATCGCTCATCAGCACATAGTACTACTTTTCAGGTGCAACACATCACAGCATGGTTATATACTATACTAATTAACGTTACTGCTCTGGTTCATGTAGCAACCCGGTCGGTTACATCACTGCATCGGATGCCAGGCTTGGCGTAAAGCCAGCGCCTGTGATGGCAGCCTTCTCTTCCCGTGGGCCAAACCCGATAACTCCCCAGATTCTCAAGGTTGGCACATTGCTCATCGTATTCCTACAGATACTCGAGAGAGAAAGCTTGCCCCTTCCAAATAGGACCAGCAGCTGTGTGTGTATGCTAACCTGGTGGTGATTTTGCAGCCTGACATCACCGCGCCAGGAGTCAGCGTCATCGCGGCTTACAGCGAGGCGGTTTCGCCGACGGAACTCTCTTTCGACGACCGCCGTGTCCCCTACAACATAATGTCCGGCACCTCCATGTCGTGCCCTCACGTGTCGGGCATCGTCGGCCTGATCAAGACCAAGTACCCCGACTGGACCCCCGCGATGATCAAGTCGGCGATCATGACCACAGGTGAGCGAGAAATGCAGATCGCGATCAATCGAGCCAGCGCAAACATCACATAAACTCTGATCGATCTCACGTCCTTAATATGCCTGTGCATTGCAGCGATCACCGGGGACAACGACAGCGGCAAGATCCGGGACGAGACCGGCGCGGCCGCGACGCCGTTCGCCTACGGGTCGGGGCACGTGAGGTCCGTGCAGGCGCTGGACCCGGGCCTCGTGTACGACACCACGTCGGCCGACTACGCCGACTTCCTCTGCGCCCTGAGGCCCACCCAGAACCCTCTCCCGCTCCCGGTGTTCGGCGACGACGGCAAGCCGCGCGCGTGCAGCCAGGGCGCGCAGTACGGCCGCCCCGAGGACCTCAACTACCCGTCCATCGCCGTGCCGTGCCTGTCCGGCTCCGCGACGGTGCGGCGCCGGGTGAAGAACGTCGGCGCGGCGCCGTGCCGGTACGCGGTCAGCGTCACCGAGGCGCTGGCGGGGGTGAAGGTCACGGTGTATCCGCCCGAGCTCAGCTTCGAGTCCTACGGGGAGGAGAGGGAGTTCACGGTGAGGCTGGAGGTGCAAGACGCCGCGGCGGCCGCCAACTACGTGTTCGGAAGCATCGAGTGGTCGGAGGAGTCGGAGTCGGACCCGGACCGGAAGCATCGCGTGCGGAGCCCCATCGTTGCCAAGACGACCTGCGGGTAGCACGGACGGGGTCGATTCTTTTCGAGTCAGAACTGGAAACTGAATAACTGTTGGTGTTGTCACGCCAAGGTCCACAAGTCGTTAGGGCTAACTGCCTAAATCCTAATGGCAGGAGACTTGGTTAGAGAGGAGAGGATCGATTTCGTTTTATCTGGCAGATAGATGTGAGCTATCGAATCCAGATATTTGTTCTGATTCCGACGGTCAAGTTGTTTTTGTGCTACTCGAATAGTGTAATGCATCAATCTTCATCTTGTTACGATAATTATATACTTCTCGTCGGGCCGGCGAAGCGCCGGCCGAAATATATAATTACGATAATTATATACTTGTTCGTTCTTTTCTGCCAGAGATGTGTCGCTACATTTCTCCATGGAAATCAGTCAAACTTTGAACTGTATAATTTATACTGTGTTTTATGCTGTAGTGTTGCTTGGTTTCTCTTTTTTGCCTCTTCACGGAGGAGTGTAATTTATTTTCCTACCATAAACTGTGACGAACACATGCAACCCCTGAAGCTAGTGATACATGCTGACGTCTTATTTGATATGCCATAAATATTAAAGTGTAAATGAGAAATTTAAAGGTGTAAGATTTGAATAATTTAAAATCGACTGCTTTTTAGTACAAATGGGCTGTTTGGTTAGGTGCCACATATTGCCACACAACATGTTAGGCATGCCACAGATTGTTAGCTTAGCGTTTGGTTACTTGCTTCAGTTGTGGCAAGCCACACTTTCTTGTTCCATGGATATACATGTCATATACTTATTTTCTAGCCAAACATTGTCACACTTGTGGCTAACAAATTGTTGGCCACACTATATTTGCCGTGCCATACCTATGATAAATTAAGTTGTGGCAATGTTAGGCAACAACCAAACAGACCCAAAAATTGTAGCGCTATGATATAGTACTCCCATACTTTCTTCTAGTTTCGGCTGGGACTATTTGGTGGGATTCGTGGCCCAATCTCGCGCGATGGAAGGATTGTTTTTTTTTTTTTTTGAACTTGATGGAAGGATTGTTAGGAGTTAAGAAGAAATGGAAACTATGGAACGATTGGAAAAGGAAACGATGGAACGATTGGCCCAGACTCCCATTCGAAAGCTGGCAACTGGGCCGGCCTAAATCACGGAAAACCAATTGGGCCTCCGAACATACAACAATGGGCGGAAGGCGGCTTGAGGGCTGAGGCGACATAGGGCGGAGGAGGACAGCACGCGCTCCGCTCGCCCGCCGCCCCACGCCCCCCGCACGCCGCGGCCCTTCGCTCGGCTGCCGGTTGCTGCCGCGCCCCTCCGCTCGTCCGCTCCACTCCGCGTCGCAGCACCGGGGTGGGAGCCGGCGCGGCGAGTCCGGCCGGCCTCGGGGAAGCGCTGCCGCGCTCTTCCCGACTCCGGCGACTGCAACGGCTGCTCCACCTCCGCCTAACGTTTCCCATCGTCAGCCTCCTCCCTCTTATACTCCTGCAGTTTTAGCTCTCCGCCACTATTCATTCCTTTCCTTTCCTAGGGCTTAGCTGAAATTTCTCCGTAGCGAAGAGGAATTGGGTGGTGGGGGATTAAACCCGATCCATCTGCAGTGAGGATTTTCCCCCATGTGTCAAACAAGCATGCTGTGGACTTACATATAGGATGATAGAACTTAGACGAGGTGCAGGTGCAGTCAGTGGCTCAACTGAACCCCCTTGTCCCGCGTTAATTTCCGCCTGGTTTTGTTGTGAGTGCCATGGCTTCGCATTACCAGGCTGCCACCTTGATCGCGTCGCCGTCGTACCCAAATGCAATCGCTTGGTCGACTGAGAACCTGGTGGCTGTTGCCTCTGGTCACCTTATCACTATCCTGGTATGTGTGGTTTCATTGCATTAGTGTATTCGAACCATGTTGTCCTCCTCAGGAGTTATGACTGTTCATCTTGTGTTTTTGATTCTAGAACCCATCTGCACTGGAGGGGCCTCGGGAACTGGTTGTTCTTCGTCCTAGCGACCCATTTCCCATAGGAGTGGTTAACAGAGAAGGTACGGTTTCCAGTGAAACACATGAATTTGTGCTGCATTCCTTTTGCTTTTCACGTGTTATCAGTTTAGACGGATAATATGATTGCCGAAGTGGAGTGGAAGAGATGCTCGGTGTTAAGTTTCTTTATGTTAGCACTGCATAGTAAGAAAAAATGATTGGGACAGCTTGAGTTTAGCAGTTACTTTAGAGTTCTGTCAACAACTTAAATGTTATGGGTGGCTGTTGTGCTTGAGATCACGGTGGACAACTCCAAATGATGATAAATATCATCAATATGTACACTTTGCTTTCTTTAAAAATTATTAAGCAATGCCTTAGGCTAATTGCATGTGAAGATGCAATTCAACAATATGCATCCAGAAGTTACGCTTTCTTAAACATCAATTCAGCAGTGTGGATTTGAGTTCCTACAAAAATAAAATTGTAATTTTAATATGTAATTATCTTGATTACATGAAATTTTTGGCAGTCAACTTCTCTTGTGACAAACTGAAAAGTAACACTGGACATCGATAGAAGGTGCGCACCAGGAATCAGTTTTTATTGCTTATTTTGCAGATCTCTTTGAACCATGTATAATGCCCACTTCCTTAGCACGTGAAACTGAATTATGCGCTCGATCTATTTCATGGTCTCAACAAGGGTTTTCTCCTAACTCCGGGTATGTCTTTTTTTAAGTCGTTTCATCACATCATTTTTGTCTCTCTCTAGATTTATTCTTCAGCACTACTAGGTTCATTTGCTTATCTGGCCTCTGTACTTTTTTTTCCCTATATGGATTCAGTTGTCTGTTGGCTGTTTGTACTGTTGATGGTCATGTAAAGCTTTATCGGTCACCATTTTGTGAATTCTGTGATGAATGGGTTGAGGTAAGCATGTTCACCTAATGTATTATTAATTTAGTTTATTGACTAACTTAATTTGTATAAACATTGATAGCTGGGCAGCTTGATTGGCCTGCCAAATTCCTGTTATGCAACAGTAATTTGTTCCATGTAGGTCCAATTTGCCATGTCCCATGCAACCATGCAGCCCCCTACATTATTTTTTCACTATCTAAGAATTTGAAAACATATTGGACAGGCAATGCAGTTAAAATAAGCTTAACAATCACTGCACCACCTAGTAGACATTCAACCGTTTGTTCAGTACTACTTCTGACTTCGATTACAGACAAAAGAAGATATTCTTTTTGGCAGTTTTGTTTGTATTTCTCTGTGTTTTTCTTGCTGTTTGTCATGTCCCTTCCTTTTCCTTTTGCCATTAGATAAAATATTTATTTTCATTCACCACTTGTAATCATTTGAACCTATCAGTTACATATGCTTAGGATATCTCAGGGTGTATGTGTTCTTTAGTTTTCTCATATTCTGCCTGTCAACTTAAATCTATTGGTCTAGGTTGCAGATATATCTCGATTGCTGTTTAAGTTTTACAAAGGTATAGAATTTGGGGAAAATGATGGTCCTAGTTCACTTCCTCAGGTATTCTCCCATCCATCCACTCTATCACCAGTGTCTCCCTTTCATTGGTTGCCTCAGAAAATTTTTTTTTTGTGAGGCAGAAATATATGTTATTGAGTTAACTTACAGAAAGTTTGTCTTCTGTGTCAGGAAAAAGAAAATACTGAACAAAACCAGCAAGTCATGTGTATTGGTAAACTGCAAGAGCCTCTTCTGAGCATGGGTACAGAACGGAGAAAAAGGAAACCAGCAAGGTGAGTCACACTCTTCTGTTTGCTGGCCATCAAAGTTTAAGATAACAAGATGGTCCAAAGGGGTTAGTTCAAGAAATAAGATGATGGGTTCTATGCTTACAATTTGATGTATGATAATGAGTGCCTAGAGTCGTTCAAAAAAAGATAATGAGTGCCTAGAAGTATAAAATGTATTTACCAGAGAAAGATCTATGCTTAACACTGGCAGACTGGCCTAGTGCACTTACTTGGTTTCTCTGGTGGTACATTGTCAATGGGTAAATATTCTGCATGTGCTATTTGAATCAGGTTTAATTTTAGCCAGGGAAAATTGAAGATAATCTCCAACAAACTGAAAATGGCAATGATAGCAACTCAGTTTCCCCTTTCCTGACAGTCTTTGACTTAGACGAGCAGACAAATGTGTCAAGGATTGCAAAAAGGCCATTTTATTTTCTATCATTAGGTGGCGAGAGGCTGCTTATAATGTGGTTGTATAAAGTAATTCTTTTTTCGTTTGGCACGACACACTTGCCATGTGTGGTTTTGGAATAAGATTGATAATTTAGAGGCTCTTGTTTGCTAATTTTTACAGTTGAAGTACTGAATTACTGACGATTACTGGTAGAAAAACTGTAGTAAGTATTTGCTATGGGTTGTTGCTAAGCTTATTATAGGATGCCAATTGTTCATATGTCAACCTATCCGCCACTGATTAATGCCTTCCTTTTCGCACTAACTTTATTTTGCAAGAAGCTATTTTTGGCCTATAATCGTATGTTAGGTCTGAATTATTTTGTTTCATTTTTTAGATTTGAAGGTTTTGTTTATCATGAGGATAATGGTGGCGTAGATGCTCCAATGGATGCGGACTTTTTATTGGATCCAATCTCTAATTTAAAGAAAAAAACATTGAAGAAGCGCAGTGTAGATGCTCCAAAGGATGTGGACTTTATATCGGATCCATCTAATTTAAAGAAAAAAACATCGGAGAAGGACGATGTAGATGATCCAAAGGATGCAGACTTTTCATTGGATCCAATCTCTAATTTAAAGAAAAATACACTGAAGAAGGTAGGATTTACATGTTCACATTTAGGTTAAAGTCCCCAGTGTATGCCCATTAGTTGTTAACATTAAAAGCTAAACCTTGTTTCATAACTAAGGAGAGAACTATTTGTGCTGTTAAATCACACTCGCACATAGCCTATTTTATATGATTTTTTTTTCTTTGGCATCCTGTATCTTTTACCTGGTTGTGATTGTAGGTCACGAGACCTGGACTTGACGATGCTGTCAGAAATGGTCAGGGCAACACTCAAAATATTCAGACACCATCATACTGCAATGGAGAAGACAAATCTCTCCCACTTATTACGGCAAAACAGTATTCATGTCGTGAAGCACTTTTGTCTTCTCTCGTAGTTGCATGGTCTCCAGTTCTACCATCACCTGACAGAAGTTCTTATTTCACGGGACATTGGTGCATTCTTGCTGTTGGTTGCAAGTCTGGGAGTGTTTCCTTTTGGAAAATACACAAACCTGAATACTACACAATAGACATCGGCATGGTTACTAGAGATCCAATGCTGATCGGGGTTGTTCAAGCTCATTTATCATGGGTCACTGCCATAAGTTGGGAACTTTTTTCCTCAGGCTCTTCAAAACCTTTGTTGCTTTTGGCAACTGGATGCTCAGATGGAAGGTCAGTACAACTTCCGTCACCACTGTAAAGGATTTTACATTTTTGTCATACTATGTGACAGCTAACTCTTGAATTTGCTCTTCCATGGTTCCATCTCTCTCTCTTTCTCTCTCTCTCTCGACAATTTAAGCATAAACCACTAAAATTGTGATGCTTCCTTAATCCTCCCAAATACCTGTTTTACTCAAAACCTTTCAAATTCGTTTTCTGGGGTTTTTTCAGCTCAAAGATATGGCTGGGTGATATTGAAGGGTTAAATCAATGTACATGCGCAAAAGAAGTGCCCTTGACATTAGTGGCTGAGGTACATAATTACCATTACCCTGTGTTGTCTATTGATATACATATTTGATTCGATATATGACTAATATCCAATATTCTATTAATAAAACTAGCTGGGTAACCCGCGCAATTGCGCAGGTATCTAGTTGTCTTAAGATTTTGAAAACCAAACCTTATTGTCCCCTTGTTTCTATATTATTTTTATAGTTTTTTAAAATCACACCAGTTGCCACCCTTACTTGTGTCATCCCCTTCTTTATTTGCTTGCTCGATCTACCACTATTTCTATTCATTCTCTCAGAACCTTTAAAAATTAAGCCTTATAATTTCTAGAGTTTATTGTCTCATTGGTTCCATTTTTATAATTTTAGAAGTCCCGTTAAATGCTGCCATTATACTATTCTGCGGCCCGTCCGTTGCCTCCGCTTTTATTGTCATTGGGATTTTTAAAAATCAAACATAATTATTGTTTGGGTTTATTTTTTTTACTTTATAGAAGTCCAGCCAAACCGCCAGCGGCTATGTCACAGTACTCCTCTACGGCTCGCCCGCTGCCTCTCCTCTTTATTGTGATTGAGATTTTAAATCGAACATTATCATCATTGTTTTTTTTTTACTTTTTAGAAGTTCCGAACCTACTTTTTAGAGTTTATTATCTCGTTGGGTTTTATTTTTATAATTTTTAAAGTCCCGTCAAATACTGACACTATACTCCTCCGCAGCCTGTCCGCTGCTTTCTCTCTTTATTGTCACATTGGGATATTAAAAATAGAACATAATTATCATTTGGATTCTTTTACATTCTAGAAATTCTGTCAAACCATAAGTGACTTTGCCACTATAATACTTTCCTTTACGGCTCGCCTACAGCCTCCCCTCTTTATTGTCGTTAAGATTTTAAAATCAAACATGGTTATCATTGGGTTTATTTTTTACCTTTTAGAAGTCCCGCCAACAGTCGTGATCATGTTGTTTAACGGTATGTCCGTCATCTCTCCTTTTAATATTCAGTAGGATTCTATTTGGGGTTTTATTAATAGTTTTTAGATGTCCCATTAACCGTCACCACTCTACTTCTTTACAAACATGTTACTTCTCCCATATTTATTGACATTTGTCATCTGTGTTCTAGATTTTATTTTTTTAAAAAAATTCCATATTTTTCATTCCGATATTTTTTATTTACAACATTATACTCCTATTTGAACTCTTATAATTATTTTTCTATTTTCAGAATTTATTTTATTTGTTATTTGGAATTTTAATTAATCTTGTCATGTGTTCTAGATGTCTCTTCTTCCAATAGTATTTATTTTTTATTACGAATTTTAGTTATTTATAAATTGTATTTCTAGTTGAATTCTTATTTTTCGTTTTGTCATTTCAGAAATTATTTTTTATTTTGAATTTTAATTTAATCTTGCATTGTGATATATATGGACTATTCTCCGATTGATATGGAAATTTCTAATCCCCACAACGTTTGTCTGTGTTAATTAAACCGACGGACCATGATAAAAAACGAAATCCTTGCGTATTTTTTTATTAGGTATAGATATAGGTTTTAGAACGGAACAACATGTGTCCAAAGTGAGGACTAATAGTAGTACTCGGATTGTTTGCTTTGCTGTATGCATATACTATCGTTTATGTTTTTCTCTGCAGCATGCAAACTCTCTCTGTTGGTATGTGTTTCTGACACCCAGTGTGGAAAGTGCTACTTCTAAATAGAGTTATGCCAGAGTTTAGTTGGCTTAAGAATAAACACTAATAAGAGTCTGATTATTAGAGGTGACTGCTTATTTTTCTTTGATATTTAGCTGGGAATTAGGCAGTCATCCATGGGAATCGGACACAAATTCGTACTTATGTAGCTAAAGCTAGTTTTCTATTTTTGTGTTTGTTTCCAACACTTACATATGGTAATATGCAAATTATATCAGATTCCAAATAACAAAACAAATCAAGTCAAACTTACATATGGACTGTCATTAAATCTCTACCATTAAAATCTAGTCATATCACAATACAACGGTTAATATTTTTCTCTTTTTCTCCGATTAATGTGGGAATTTCTAGCCCCCACAGCGAACGTGATGCCTCCTTTCAAAGCTATCTTAATAATATAATAGATTGAAATGCCCATCTTGCACTTTCTAGTTCCAGCTAATGCCTTTCTGTTATTAAATATACTGCTCCAAACGTTGTACTGTCAGGTCACTACTGATTCATTAGCACCAGTCTCGTCAATCTCATTATCTGCACCAGCTCAGCATCAAGACTCAGTTAATCTGGCAATTGGAAGAGCATCTGGGTCACTAGAAGCATGGTCGTGGAACATATCTGGTAACAAAATTCAGAAGATTCATGCATGTGACGCTCATGATCAAGTGGTAAAATTTCATTTTACCTTAGTATGTTTACATCTTGATAAAAGAAAAAAAATATCTAACATCACCATAGGTGACAGGTCTGTCATGGGGTTTTCATGGGCATTGTTTATACAGCTGCAGTCAGGTGTGTTTATGTCCTCGTTGCACTTTGTAATTAATTCTGATTTTGTTTTTAAATAAAACCAAAGTTCCGTTGACAGTATGTTAACTTTTCTATTAAAGTGTAAACTATTTTCTATGTTCTCAGTGTATTCACGATCTCTGTCTTTGCAATATTACTAGCTGCTGATTACAAAACGTGCATAAATAACTGATGGCAGATTGACGGGAGACATTGATTTCTGTAGTATTTTGGAGTTGTGTTAGTTAAGACTTGGAAAGCTGAAGTTTTCTGAAAGTTATATTTTATGTTCTGCTGCTGGATCATAAAATCCTATGCACTGTGTTGACTTATTTTCTTGAACCTTCAAAAAATCCTGCGCACTGTGTTAACTTATTTTCTTGAACCTTTTGTTACTTGCTTATGCATAAAGCCTTGCTACTTTGTCAGGATAATTCTGCACATTGTTGGATGTTCAACGAAAAACATCTAGAAGAAATTCCTCTGCACACAGATGGTCCGGAGCTGAAAGAGTCCGTAGATGTAAAACATATACTCAATAACCCTTTATCCTGAACATGCAAGTTTTTTCTTCTGGTTGACATCTGAAATGTGCATGCAGCTCACAGAAGTATCCGATCGATGTTATGGCCTTGCACTAGCACCTGGAGAACTAATGATTGCTGTGGTATGCTTTAGGCTATCTCTTATATCTGACGCATATTGCTTAACTGTGCAACATTTGTACTTGAGCTTTCATATATAATAAGCTAAAACAATTTATGAATGTTATCTCCTTCAGGTGCGCAGCTTGGACTCAAACTTGTTAAATCAGATGTATCAGGCCAGGTAATTTTGTTTGGGAGTTCGGTATGGGAAGTAGTGAGGTCTGCTTGGATCTAATTAATGATTTCTTTTATCTAACATTTAGAAAATCCACTGTCATCACAATAATTTTGTGAATAAAAACAACAGGACACAAAAGGCAGTGGTTGAGTTCATTTGGATTGGTGGTCAGTTCCTTGGTATTCCATTGGACAATAGCGTTATCCTCAGTCTTCAGTCTGCCGCCTTATCTGAGACTAATTTCTTGTGGTGGGGATCCAACATTTTTTGGTCACTGAAGAAATATGAGAATTGTGAAACAGTGCTTGTCTTATGGGATCTCATTGCTGCACTACAAGGGTTTAAGAAATCTGCACCTACCTTTCTTGAGACATTGATGCATAAATGGGTGTCAGGTTTGTTTTCAGATGATCCACATTGTGCTTCTATCGACATCCCATCACATTCAATTCACAACATGTCCAAAGTCAGCTCGCGGAAGTTGCACTTGCTGAATATCGTATGTAGGAAAGTAATGCTTAGTGATCAACCGCAGTATTCTCCTGGTGCAGAAAAAGGTAATGATGTAATGGCTGATTTGTGGAACAATCTTCTGGTAAGAAGTGAAAGGGAGCTGCAAGAGAGGCTTGTGGCTTTCACTTTTGCTGCTGTCCTCAACCGAACAGCATATTTGCTCAAGGGTGCCCCTGCTGAAAACAGCTGGTTTCCTGTTGGAGTTGCCCAGATGGACTCTTGGGCATCCATGAACGATGGAGAAGTGAGGGATGAGCTCAAATTTCTTAGAACGAGGATCAATGATCTAGGAGACAGGTAAACCATTTTTCTAACATCATTTCACTTGTGAAACGGCATAGAGCATATGCCACATGATAGTTCAGTAGAATTGCCTTGAAATGGCTTCACTGAAAGTAAAATTGGATGTTGAACCTGTTCAGTAACTGTTTTGCGCCATGCAGGATCAACTCAGTGTGCGAGTACTCAGTTGAAGAATACTGCACCTACTGCAATGCACCAGTCCCCTTCGAGTCCGCAGATGTTGCCATGTGCAGTGGTAGCAATCCTGCTACTCCCCCAGCTGAAGCTCACAAATTGTCAAGATGCACAGCGTCGATGCGGCTGTGCCCTGTTCTTCAACCAACATGGCACTGCGCGTGTTGCGGGAGGACGGTCGACAAGCTGCTGCCGGAAATATTCTTCACCATGCCCACATCATTTTGGGATGTCACTCATGGTAACGAATCGCTTGATTTATCAGCGCCGGCCGTCCCATTTTGCCCCTTCTGCGGCATACTGCTGCAGAGGATAAAGCCGGAGTTCCTTCTCTCTGTCTCACCGGTATAGAAGCTAGTGACACTAGGCAGCTTCCAGCTGTAAGTTGTAATACTGAATACGTCACTAATGCACTTTGAATTTGTTGTTGGTGGGGGGCTGCTTCTAAAAACATGTGCTTAAAATAAGCATGGCTGGTTTGCGCTAGGTGTGGTGGTGCCATCATAATGTAACAACCCGTGTAACATGTGACATCTGTAACTCTTGGCAATAAAGCGGGCAATATATACTACTTGATGTGAGAATATGAGATACAGGGTGTAGAGCATAATGTGGCAGGCCAGATGTTGTTTGCTGCATGTACACATGACCCACACCAGGGAGGCTGGAAAGAGCAAACAGACAGACACCGATGCTTCCCTTGCAGGTTGCAGCCAACGGGAGCAGCCTCGAAAGCGAAGCACTTGCGAGAGATTGTGGAGGACGAGGCAGTGGGTGGGGTCCGACCCAGGAACCTTTCCCGGATTTGACCACATGATCGATCGCATCAACTGACTCCCATCATCTCCGGGCTCAACTCCTCCCTCCTGGCCAGGTCAGATGATGACCACTCTCCTCGGCATTTCCGATTCTTGACTGGCTTGTTCTCTCTCTCTCCCAGTAACCGATCTTCTCGTCGGGCTCCGACGATCAGTTGCAGCACGATCCAGGAAGAGGCGGCGTAAGCCATGGTGGTGGACAGCGCGTACTACGACGTCTTGGGGGTCAGCACAGACGCCTCCGCGGCAGAGATCAAGAAGGCGTATTACCTCAAGGTGCGTGGTTCTTGGCCCGAGATCGAGAACGCTGGCATATTTGTTTTTCTTGTGTTTTTTTTTCTTTCGTGCAATGTTTGTTGTTGGGTTCATGGTTTCAGCTGTTCTTGCAATGTTTGGGTTTCTGTAGGCCAAGTTGGTGCACCCTGACAAGAATCCCAATAACCCTGATGCGGAGCGGAGGTTCAAGGTAGATTTTCGCTTCTGTTTTGCGCTGTGTGCGTCACAGTTCGATGTTCTAGGAAAGGAAACAGTATAGGTAATGGCTTTAGACGATAAGACGACTGAACCAAAGAGATGGTGGTAGCTCTGGTCACTTCTGTTCTCTTGTGAACTTTTCTGTTCTACCTTTTTTTTTTCGAGGGAAACCTCCGAAAAGGGCAGGCATGAGCTCATGCGATTCACTATTAGAAGAGAGTTATCCAGTTTATAAACAAAAATTGGACACAAAAATCTTACAACGGTTAATTAGGGAAACCGGTGAAAACTCTTAATGCCTTATGTTGGTGCATTCTTAATGTCAGTAGGTAGGGATGCAAACCGGCCAACCCGTGAACCTACTAATATGTTAAATAAAAGGTAATCCGTGGGTATTCATGTCATGGCTCGGCTTGCCGCGTCGTAAAGATATAAGTGGATCAATCCATAAAGCTATTTATAGGTCAAATTAGTAGGTAACCCGCGGGTTACTCACTAACAGTGGCGGAGGCAGTGTGGGGGCTGGGGTTCTTTAGACCCCCCCTAAAATTTAAATCCATATATCTATTGCAAGGGGGCTAAAATAAACTTTGTCTGAGATTGTTATAAGGCTCAAAAGACTAAGGAGCCCCCACTATATTTTATCCTGGCTCCGCCACTGCTCACTAATTTTGCCTATAAGCGGGTTCATGGGTCGGCCCGCTTGCATCCCTATCAGTAGGCCTTATTAATTCACCCACTACCTTTATAGGAGGATTACTAACTAAAATTGGTTACTTCTGCAAGGAACTGGGTGAGGCCTATCAAATACTCAGTGATCCTGTAAGAAAGGATTCTTATGACAAGCATGGAAAAGAAGGCCTTCCACAGTAAGTCTTGAATATTTCTGTCACTATTCTATCAACCTAGATAGAAATTAAGCTCCAAATTCTTTGTTTCTATAGAATTGGATCGGCCAAATTGTAAAACAAAATTCAATTGCACAAGCGATTTGAAGTTTTAGCTGCATGCTGCATGTACATTGTATTAGTTATTATCAACATAAAGCTATTGAACTTTTAAAATGGCTTTTTTAGGGATAACATGATTGATCCAACTGCTGTCTTTGGAATGCTTTTTGGGAGCGACTATTTTGAAGATTATGTTGGTCAGTTTGCACTGGCATCTGTAGCTTCAGTAGAGATTGAGGAAGAATCAGATAATACAGAGGCAAGGGCAAGGATTCAAGATAAGATAAAAGTATGATGCTCCAGTAATGCTCTGTAAATTGCACAACAGATGTTATCTAGTAGTGCTCCCAGCCTTCTAGTATCCATCTCCTCAAGGTTGGCAGTTCATAATTCATGCTTAGGCCTTAATAATATCTCTGGATTACAGGAGTTGCAAACCGAAAGAGAGCAAAAGCTTGTTCAAAGCCTTAAGGATCGACTTCAACCATATGTTGATGGAATGCAGGATGAATTTGGTGATTGGGCAGGTGCTGAAGCTCAGCGTCTTTCTCAAGCGGGTATTGCCCTCCATCTTCATACTCATTTGCACTGTTGTATTTTTTGATAAGCATGGACATTTCATTCAACTTTTGCTGCTGTATGTACAGTATATACACTCATACCACTGAATTTTCTATTATGCCTTATACTGAATTGCTGATTGCATTTGTTTTAATTCCTTGGTGTCTGTTATGAATTGATTTTTCAGCTTTCGGTGAGGCTATGCTCCACACTATTGGCTACATTTATGCTCGTCAAGCAGCAAGAGAGCTTGGAAAAAGCAAAATGTATATGGGTGTGCCGTTCATAGCTGAATGGGTAAGAGATAAGGGCCACCACGTAAAGTCACAGGTTAATGCGGCCGCAGGTACATCATAGGATGCTGTACTACCTTTTCCTACATCACCTATAATACTTCTTAATGAGTCTGACCCTCGGTGTTCTACATCCCTCTTTTGTTAAAGATGAGTCTGATCTTTTACTGTAGGTGCAATTTCTCTGATACAGCTACAAGAAGGTATAAAAAAGATTGAGGGCGACGACAAGGAAGGCCAGCTTATGAAGAGTATTGAGGAGAAAAAAGACGCAATGTTGAATTCTCTGTGGAAAATCAATGTAGTCGATATTGAATCAACGCTTTCTCGTGTTTGCCAAGCAGTAAGCATTGTCCACCTCAGTTTTTACCTCATGTTTTGCAGTACTGTACCGATATGCTTGAATTTTGAGATATCTTAGAAATAACATACAAATATGGATGATCGTGGCAACCATTTTGACTTCAGGTTTTGAGGGAGAATACTGTTTCCAAAGATGTTCTGAAGGTGCGAGCTAGAGGACTGAAAAAGCTGGGGACAATATTCCAAGTAAGTTTTGCTTCATCTTTCTATCTTCTCCAGCTACTATGGTAGGTCAAAGGAGGATTGCTCTAATCACCAGGACTTGATACCGATCATTCTGGCAAATCTTGTTTGCAAACCGTAAAACATTGAAGTTTGTGTTGAAACTAATTTGGAACAAATATGTTTCCGTGGCCTGTTTCTGTGGAGAAATTTTGTAAAGCCGTTGTAAATCGTCACAGAGGTGGCAATTTATATAGGAAACTAGTTCAGAGAACTACTCGGAGTTTTTGTTTGGAGGGTGAGAGATGATGATTGGCATATGTAACATGTCGGAGGTTACGAACTATATGAATGGTTTCATACGCGTCTTCTCTCTTTTCTTGATGTCCTTTTCTATTTTGCTTACCTTTCAGACTCAGTGCGCGTTCTGCTTTCATGTAGTCTTTTGTATCTTCATGTCAAGCACTCAAGCTAATTGCTAATGCTATATTGCCATGTTGATTTGAAAAACATCCTCGTATTTTTCCATTGGTTAACCAGGTTGCAAAATCATAATGAGATTTGGATCCCGTTTTCCATGTGAAACCAGGGTGCAAAATCGCATTGCCGGCGCGAGAACAGCCTGCGTGTTGAGGCTCGCGATGCAGAAGCAACACCGTCGGATTGATCAGGACTCAGGAGCAGCACGGCAGCATCGCTACAAGGGACACCACTCCGCCGAGGCTTCATTTTGTGATTCTTTTTGCTTTTCTGTAGGAGCATTTGATATTCGTTGCGTCCAGCATTCCAGCAAAGATGTTACGATGTGGATAGTGTGTTGCAAGACCGATGTTTGGTCCATGTAGCCACGCAATATTCTTCGATATTTTCGAGCCTTTGATGCTTTAGAGGTAATTTGGATAGTTATAATCAGGTCTTGAGATCTTCGATGGCTATCTGCCCGGGCAAAGTGTACCCTTTTACTGTTCACCCGGAACCTTCCAGAGATCAGGCCGCAACGTGGCGCGCCCGGCGCTTACGTGCCCTTCTCCGGTCACGCGCGCCGTCCTTACGAGGGCACACGTGGCTTGCCTGCAGGGCTGCAGATACCGCCTGTCGCCTCCTGTTTCCTCGTACAAATACGAGTCCGCTTCCGCTTCATCATCATCCAATTTCCCATCAGCTCGATCGCTCGTATCACTCATGGCTCAAAGAGGGTAACCGAGTTAGAAACTGAGGAGGAAGCAACTCGACGACACCAACCAATGGCGGAGCACGCCACGGGAGTGTACGGGCACCCGTACCCGCGCGTCGACCAGTACGGGAACCCTGTGCCGCCGGTCGACCAGTACGGCAACCCCGTCCCGGACGAGCCGGCGCCGCGCGACACGGCCGCGGGGTACGTGGCGCCGCCGGACCCCGCGGTGTCGACTGGCGACTACGGCCTCGCCGGCGCGGAGGCGCCGCACCCGCACGAGAGCGCGGTGATGAGCGGCGCAGCCGCCGCTGCCGTCGCACCAGGAGGCGAGGCGTACACGCGCGACGGCGGCGGCGTAGTTCCCCCGGCCGGCGAGAAGACGTTCGCCTACGAGGGCACGGTCAGCGCCGCCGGCGTCACGGGCGCCTCCGGGCAGCTCCAGCCCACCACCAGGGAGGAGGGGCACACGACGCTCGGCGAGACGTTGCGCCGCTCCGGCAAATCCAGCTCCAGCTCCAGCTCGGTAACTTCTCTTTCTAGTCGTTGTGTTCTTGATTAATTTTGTCGATGGGCTGACTGACTTGATGAGCGCGTGCCCAGTCGTCGGAGGATGACGGGCAAGGTGGGCGGAGGAAGAAGAAGAGCATCAAGGAGAAGATAAAGGAGAAGCTTCCCGGCAGCCACAAGCAGGAGGAGCAGAAGCAAGCTGGCCACACGGCTCCGGCGGCCGGGACGGGGACGGGGACGGGGACGCATGCAGCGGGGAAGCACGAGAAGAAGGGCATCGTGGAGAAGATCAAGGAGAAGCTCCCCGGCCACGGCCACCACTGAGCGAGAGCTCGCGCGCACGCACTTTCATCGGTTGACGTTCGTGCAACTGTCCATGCATGTATGTATAATACCAGTCGTGTTTCAGTTCGTTAATTTTACGGTCGATGTGTGGTCTCGGTAAAACTAGGTGGTGTACAGTGCGTCTATGCATGTACGGTGTATCCAATAATCCAGAGTCAGATCTCTTTTAATTATCCTTTATAACGAGTCACGAGTGCTTTACGTTTCGCACCAAAAAATTGTCACCTGGCGAATCGAATTCCTCTGAGACAACCGTGCGCATAACTGATGATGGTGTGAGACAAAACGAATGTACTATATGATACGTTTAGGCAGGACCGCCGATTGATCGGTTTTGGTCGATCCCGACGCTTCACACCATGGACGGTCACTGCGTCAAGTGGTCAAGCCGAAACAGGAGCCGCGGCGGTGGCGCGGTGCGACGGACGGGAGGCGAATCAAAACAACTACTGGCCGCAGCCGCAGCCCGCAAGTCGGAGTCAAGACGAACTGGTGGGCCGTAAACTGAACAACCAAACAAACCGCCAGGAACGAAACACAGAGTGCGCCAACCACATTGCGCGCGCAACAAGAGACTGAGCGGCCCCGGCCCAGGAGAATTTGACACGGCATTCACTCACAACTTCACGCCTTCCGCTGTTTCCCAGCGTTGGCTTTCGGTAGACAAGTAGTGGCTTTCCGTGATCCGCGTCGTCCATGGCGACCTCTGTCCGGTGGACGGCAACATCGTTCTCGGTCACAGGGTAAGCTCATGCAGACCACTCATGGACAGGTTAATACCCGGCGTCAGGCGTGCAAGGACCAAGGAGTAATGGAGTATACAGCGATGCACTGACCGCAGTATGCAATGCCACAAGTGTGTACGGTCAAATGTTTGTCACGGAACGTTGTCATGTTTTTGTGTTGGTACTCACTCCCGTAAGGAGTACATGAGCCGGCCATGAGTGTAGGTGGGAACACCTAATTTGCCTCGTCTTATACCGTATTTGTTTTGACTGACGTGCGTTAGGTCGCGAGAATCTATCCCTGGAAATCCGTTGTGTGGAATTTATTTTAGAGAAGTATCTCATTCTCAATATTTGCTTGGTTTACGTAGAGCATGGAGGACGCGAGTGGAGCACACGGAATTAATGTGCTGTAAAGTATGTGAATCAGAAGCAGCATACAGTTGAGTTACACTTGATAGTAATCCCTCCGTGCTCGTACTCGTAAAGGAAGTTGTTTTGAACAGCGATACGGTCTCCAAAACATACTTTGACTTCTTATTTCTATAAAAATATTTATTTAAAAGTGATATATGTATATTTTTATGAAAGGATTTTCACGACAAATCTATTCATATAATATTTATATTTTCAAACTTAACAACTCAAGAGTTATTCATAATTTATATTCCCAAGGTTTAACTTAAACATTGTCCTATAAATATAAATATAAGACCCCCTATAAAGGGATTGATCGAATCACAATTCATAACCAGAGCCACATTGAGAGATAATCCAAAGAAAACCAAAGCCTAGTTGTCGTATTCTACTCATCTAGACGTACTCGATGGATTCTATTTGGCATGTTAGAGTAGCCTACAGATCACCGGTTGTAACATGTGCGATATCTTTCCCAGTAATACATATAAACTAGAGTAGGGTTATTACTCATCTCAATGACCCGAACCAGTATAAATCATTGTCCCTTGTTCTCTTAATATGATATCGTGTATATTCTAGTACCAACGACCCCTATACTCTAGTACGGATACCATTGTTGTATAGCCCCTCGAGATAACAAAAAATAGTACAAAAATTTCCACCTTTCAACCAGGAGAACATGCCACTAGTTTGTCTTCGATCCGTAGCGGCTATGGTGCAGACGGCTACCGGAACTATGGCCGATGCAACGGCGTGCCCCGGCAGCCAGCTACGATCAAGCCGATAGCCAGGGCGCGCGGTGCGGTTGCGCGCGACGTGACGATCAGGATTGCGACCGACGTTGTGGCCAACGCGGTGACACAACAGTCAACTTTACGGTCCACTTGGTACCCACAACGCGTGGTCCGATTACACTTAGCATGTTGGCTAGGACGGCAGCCGGCGCTACGGCCAGCGCGTGCAGTGCAACTACTCAACAACGACGGGACGGTTCAGCGGCAGTGCGGCAACACAGCGACTGTCTTGGCTTTTGGTGTCCCGGTAGCTTGTGGCCTATAGCCTCATCGGCCACCACCTCCATAGGCCGCACCCCCCCCCCTCCCCCACCGTCACTGTCACCTCAGCCAGCCGTTGCACCCACCCCACTCGTGCCTCCGCCCTTTGGGATTGAGCTGAGCCAAATAGCCAAGAAACCCACTTTCATGTTTGGTTAGAATAAAGGACAAATTTCTACCATCTAACAATATAGATTATACGTTTCTTTAGGGGAAAATACTTTTTTTTCATAGGAATTTAACGATCAAGTAATGAAAAGGGTATGGAAGAGATTCGAATTAAATTTAAATTTAAGGATATATATGGAAATAAGAAAAAACAGGGATATATGGAAAAGGAATTAGGTAAATATACACGCGTATGGATTTTGTAGTCGAATACCAATCCAACGCAAAGATTCGCGAGCGCGCACGTGTTTGCCTCGTGGCGGCGGAGGCAAGGATCCAATCCAAGGGCCACCAGCCCAGAGCCCAGCGCCCCAGATACGTCGCCCTGCTACATAGCCGCCGCTGTTCCGGTTCAATCCCCAACAGCATCACACCAATCAGATCGACAATCGCCGCCCCACCCCCCGGCCACCCCACAGCACGGAGCCCTTGCCAGTGCCACCTCCAGTGCAGCTTCTGTTCAAGGACCATCCCCGACCACGTCGCGGCAACGACAACGCCGTACGCGCGGCGGCCTCTATCGTCCCTCCCGCTGCTGCGCGCCAGGGCTGCGCTTCAATGCGCCACAGGGGCAGCATGCATATCCGTCGGCCGCCGCGACGCCATCTTTATTCCCCCGTTCTCTCGTCGCGCGCGCGCACTTGTTCACTGTGATACGTCGCACCGTGCTGTTCACTGTTCAGTCGTCGTGATCAATCAATCGATCGGTCGACCCCAGCAAGTGGACGCTACGGTGCACGTAGCGCATGCAGGCGCGTATACGTTATGCGAGATCTCGCCGAACTGTGCCCCCATTTATGAGTCAGGTCCACTCGCTGTCTGGTCCTTTTTTTTCTGACTGCTGATCAGCCGGTGCAAGACGCCAAGACGGATCAGACGTGATCAGATCGATCGGATGTTTGCAGGGTTCGAAGCTGGGCCACCAGAAAGGGGGGAAAAAATCGAGGCCGCCAACGTGCTGCGCACAAGAAACGGCGGATAAGTTTTGTAAGTTTTGCCTGAGCCGCATGCAGGTAGGTGTGCAAAAGCTTGATCGAAGGTTCAAATCGGATCGAACTCATTCATAGTCATAACGAGCTAAACCATGTTAGAATTATAGTTCGTGAAATTAACGAGTCAGATCGTGTCTAGCTCACTTGTAATAAAAAAAACGTAAAATACGTAGGTGATACTACATACAACTTATAAGATACACGAAATTTAGTCAGTCATCTCGTAAAATTCTCAAACAAGTTTTAGTCAAAAAAAAATTCTCAAACAAATCACTCATCTTGTTTTTTTTTTCAAATCACATAAGCACAGTGGTGGAGTCAGGATAAAATTATAGCGGGGCTAAACTAAAGTGGAAAATAAAAATTGAAATATGTCTCATATAAATTGGCTATATTTCTAATACAAAATATAAATATATGGATTAGAATTTTATAAGGTATTATGGGGGCTCTAATGGTACATTAGGGTAGAGAGTCTAAAGACCCCAGCCCCCAAGTTGTCACTGCCGCTGCATAAGTACATGTGTCAAGTTCGCTATTAAATTGGATACATGTTGATTTATTTTTGTAAGCATGACCACACTCAATGAAAAAACAAGCCAACTTCAATATGATTGATACTAAAATCCAATTTAAGATGATTTTGTTATTGCTTGCTAAGTTTATTGAAAGCATACAAGTAGCAACTAACATAAATGAAAATACGGGTGCTAATATTTAATTTTATTGCTTGCCTATAAACATGTCAACTTGTCCTGCCCATATCACTACTAGAAAAAGTATTTTTACTAACGTGAGGGCCTTATTTTTGCAGGCTGATATGACCCTTAGAGCCAAATGACCGTCTACAAAAATATAAATCGGGGTAAAATTTGATGCCCGCTTGCGAAAATAGATTTTCGCAGACGGACCACTTAAGTGGCGCCGCTTAAGTGGTCCGCCTACGAAAATAGACTTGAATATAAATAGACTTGCGGGCCCTATTTTTTTTTTAAGTCCTCACACCTCTCAGTCCTCCCCTCGCTCCACACCTCTCCTCCCTTCCTCACCGGCCTCTCCCCTCCCCTCCCCTCTCCTCCTCTCCCCTCCCCTCACTTCTACTCTCCCCGGCGGCGGCGGCGGGCGGTGACGACGGAGGGCGGCAGTGGTTGAAGTCCGGGCGGTGGCGGCAGCGGCTCCCCTCCCTCCTCCCTCCCATATCTGGCCGGAGGAGGGAGGGGGGAGGCCGGCGGCGGCGGCAACGGTGTGGAGCGTCGGCAGCGCGGTCCGGGCGGCGGCGGCTCCCCTCCCCCTCCCTCTCAGATCTGGCCGGAGGAGGGAGGGGGAGGCCGGCGGGGGCGACGGTGGCGGCTCCCTTCCCCCCTCCCTCCCAGATCTGGCCGGAGGAGGAAGGGGGGAGGCCGGCGGGGGCGACGGCGGCGACGACTGTGCAAGGCGGTCGGCAGCGTCTCCCCTCCCTCCCTCACAGATTTGGCCGGAGGAGGGATGGGGGAGGCCGGCGGGGGCGGCGACGGCGACGAAGGCGCGGGGCGGCGGTGAAGACGACGACGACGGCAGCGGCTCCCCTCCCCTCTCAGATCCGGCCGGGGAGGGCGGCGGCGGCGAGCCGCGTGCGGCGATTTTTTTGTTCGTTTTTTTTTTTTGCATTTTCGCAGGCGGGCCGTTGCCCCGACTGCTAAAATCGATGATTTTCACAGTCGTTGTGATGCAGGCGGACCTCCCTCCCGCCTACGAAGATTAGTTTTGGCCACCTGCGAAAATTAGTTTTCTAGTAGTGTATGCCTCACACATGTATTTATGTTAGGCTTGTATGGCTTCTAATTGAGAAACAAACAATACATGTGATGTATTTTACATGATTTTCACCATCGGAACAAGATGGCGACTCATTTAAACAATTTGTAAGATAAGTGACTAAATTGCACTTATATCACAAGTTGTGATACCACAGAATACATTTTACTCAAAGAAAAATCAGTGTCTTTATATGCATAATACTTCCTAACTATTCTATCTATCCTAAAATTAACTACTAGTCATTTAGGATTAACTACCTAGTTATAGTTATATTCAAATTTGTAATACTAGATAACGATATTTTAAGATGAAGAGAGTATACATATTTTCTTAAATTAGTCTAAGCTATTTATATCTGTTGAGTTCTTTACTACTACTTCCACCCAACATTTCAAACATTTCAATTTGAAGATTGTCCAAGAATATAAGCATTCATACACTACTGCTTACTCTCAGTTAAATTTATCTCATCGTACTCCCAACCACCTTTTCACCCTAACTCTCTCTCGTTAAATGTGGGCCGGGCACTAAAATCTTTTTTCTTCAATCTTAATCTTTGCTAAATAATCTAGAAATGTTCGATGAAGGGAGTAGTTAGTTTTTGTTGTTATGTTAACGTTGATAAAATAGTAAATTAAAAATTAAAAAGATGATACTCCCTCCGCCACAAGCCGTATGTTGTCTCGTTACGGTCAAAATTTGACTAACGATTATCCTATTTTGATATACTTTTTATGACGTAAAATTGATGTTGTTATATTCATATTTAAAAGTAATTTGTATCATATTGATATATTAGTAAAGTGATTGTTTTAACCTTGTCTTAGATTGGCATGTTAGAATTGAGGAGATGGCTATGTTTTTAAATAATTTGTGGCAAAAGTACAATTTTACCCCTACACGTCTATATTTTTATGGATAATCATACCTCTTCATATTTCTACTATTGTTAAATAAGGTTATAGTATAAAAAGATCTGAACTCTCAAATAAAATTAGATTTGTGGTTCAGATCGATTAACTTCTACTACTAGTAGGGAGTACCATGGTAGGACTCAAATAAAATACGTTATATTTATATGAAGTAGTGTAAATGAGAAAAAACTTGTTCTAACGAGCTTAGCTCAACCAAATCCGTCTTCTATCAGTCAATCTAGAAGGCCTGGGTGCCACCCAAGTGCAAATTCTTCTCTTGGCTAGTCACGCAAAATAGAGTTTGGACGGCAGATAGGCTGGAGAAAAGAGGATGGTAAAACCAAAATATTTGCCCACTTTGCTGCACTGTTGACGAATCGTCCTTACACCTCCTGGCCAAATGCAGACTCACAAAGAGGATATGAGCAGAAATCCAGAGATGGACTGGGACTTACCTCCAAATGGACGATTGGGAAAACTGCCACTCAGTCGATCAGTGGTGGACCCTCGTAACGGAATCCCCAAACACCCCGCACAAACCCCTAAGGACCCTGGTGATTTTAATCTCGTGGGAAATCTGGTGCGAACGAAACACAAGAATATTTCGCAGCAATGCATCTGCGCCGTCCTCAATTTTAGCAAAGATCAAGGAGAAAGGAAGAGCATGGATCAAAGCAGGGGCTGTAACCCTGCAGGAGTTTGGAACTTTGGGAGATATCACTTAATATCCGCCTTTTGTCTTCCTTTTGCGGGTTATTGCTTTTTTCTGGCTAACCCTGTATATATCTTGTTATAATTTTTTTCTACTCTATTAATATATACAAGACAAAGCTTTTTCCTTCTTTAAAAAAAAACGAGCTTAGCTCAGCTCACGAACTGAGCAAAGTTAACTAGCCTTAATCAATCGAGCTGTAGCCTCGTTATCCACCTCAGGTGTGGCTGCTGGCTTGGCTTGTGGGCTTGTGGCAGCGTCGGTGTGGGGGCGATGATTTTGCACTCGATGCTGTGACCTTACTTGGAAGATGCTATGCTGCTATTCACTGGCCCGTTCGTTTTTGACAGCCTTTTGTGGCGTCAAGGCTTGATTTGATACACGATGTTCACGATGATGTCTCCAGCCATCGTGCCTTGGCGCCTTGCTTCTGTCGCTAGCAGCGGTCAGGGTCTTGGCGTCGAACATGCCATCATGGCTCGCCCCGACAAAATTGACGGACTCACGTCGCATGATGCTTACTATTAACCATTCAATGGAAGATTGGAAGAACTAGTGTACTATTATGGTCTGTGAATTTCCAACTAAATTAAAAATAACTAAACAAACTCCTCGCCTGTTTGGTTTCTATTTGAAGAGAAAGGTAAACCAGAGTGGTTAGCGTCTTTCTTTAATCCCACTGGCCTTTTGTTTCTCTTCAAGCACCGCTAGATTTATTCTACTACATCATGGGAGTGATACATGTAGCTTTTGGCAAAAGCGACCTTAGGAGAAAATTTGGATTGGAAGCTAACAGCAGCATTAACAATGCCACGAAATTGTTGTCCAAACATTACTACGGCTCCTAAACAATAATTGGAATTGACTATCATGGATGGTGCTCCTAAACAGTATCTATCTTTCTCATTGCTTTCGTGGGACACAAATCAAGAAAAGCTAAAAAAACAGGATAGCGACTTGGGCAAGCAATTAGTGAGAACCTTGATTGTTCCTTCTTCAGGAGAGGAATACACGTTACACAGTCCTCCCAGTGGCAGCAACTTACAGAGTACAAGTGTAAGAAACTTAATTATTCTTACAAAATCTCATAGTAGTAATTAACTACACAGTGTTCACATTTCTATACCCTTTATTTATATTTTTACCCATGCAGAAATCATAAAAAGGTGTTAATTAAGGAGTATGGACTAGTGAAAATTAACAGAGTACAGTCTCTACTCTCCCGGTTGGTCATGCCCTCTGTGTAAAATGCCTTGGAAGAATATTGTATATACGATAATGGCTTAATTCACAAGAACCTCATCGGAAGTACTCGAAGTTGAAGTCGCCGACCACCATGCTCCGGCTGACGTCGAAGTCGAAATGTGTCATGCCCTGCTCTTGCTGCCCATGGCAGGGCAGCCCGAACTTGTGCTCCATGGCGTCCCCCTCGCCGTAGCCCACGAAAGGCTCGACCTTGCTCTCGGTGGCCCAATGCAGCGGCTCGCTCTCGAGCGCATTGTTCACCTCCGGCGCGCCCACGCCGCAGTTCCAGTTGCTGCTGTTGCTGGAGCTCTCGCCGTAGCCCAGGTTCTCCGACACGTCAAGCACGCTGCTGTAGTCCACGAACCCGGCCGCGTCCTTGCCGCCGAGGTGGCCGTACAATGGCATGCCCGTGGCGTCGAACCCGCTGCCGAAGCTGTCGATCACCGGGAACGGGTCGAACACCTGCTGCTGCTGCTTCAGGGCGAAGCCGTCGGCGGTGGCCGGCGGCTTCTGGTCCTGCGTCGACGTGTCCAATGCCGCCGCCGCAGCAGCAGCAGCCGTGGAGATGGGCTGGTGGGTGCTGGGGTCGATGCCGCGCTGCCTCAGCTTCTTCTTGAGGCAGCTGTTCCAGAAGTTCTTGATCTCGTTGTCCGTCCTCCCCGGCAAGTGCGACGCGATTTGCGACCACCTGCATCGGATTCGCCTCGCTGATCAGGCCACTTATCGCTAACAAATCACCTCCACACAACCACATTGCGACGAAAATAGTACTGGTACGCATTATTGCCGGAGCGGCAGTACGTACGAACCTGTTGCCTAGGATCTCATGCAGGCCGACGATGGCGTCCTCCTCCTGCTGCGAGAAGCTGCCCCGCTTCAGGTCGGGGCGCAGGTAGTTGATCCACCGCAGCCTGCAGCTCTTGCCGCACCTCTGGAGCCCTGGAGCACAGAAGAAGATCGTTGCACGGCACGGGTCAGCGATGAGACACTGAGACACATGCATGCAAAGAGCGGATCGAGCAGAGCAGGAGCAGCTTACGACCTGCGAGCTTGGGAACGGAGCTCCAGCAACCGACGCCGTAGCGGTAGATGTGATTGTAGAGCTTCTCGTCTTCCTCGGGAGACCAGAGCCCCTTGCGCAGCTTCTGCTGGACACCGGCGGCAGAGCACGCGTGCCGTCCCATTCCCGCCCGACACGCGAGCAGCTACCTGCCGCTGGGTTCGTTGCCCTTGCCGGCGTGTATCTGTCTATCGATCTCTCTGTCGATCGAGGCGGCCGGCTGGGCGCCCGATCCAGGGGGTATATATGGGGAAGCGTGCCGAGAACTACTGCACACACACACGTACGGTGCGCGCGCGCGAGGGAGGCAGCAGATCGAGCAGCGATCAAGTGGCCTTTAAGCAATCAACCAACGAGCCACGGAGCCAAGCGTCTCTCTACCTAGTACTCCTCTTCTCTGTGTGTACTACCTGGTGCGTGCGGCTTGATATCGTGCTTCCGCTACAATGGATTGGAGCTTAAGATATCTCCGGTTCGTGAGAGAAATTAGGAGAGGAGAGGAGCGCAGACACTGGGCCAGCGAGCGAAAGCGAGCGGCAAGCTAGGGCCCCGCGGGAACAGGACGGAAAGGACGGAGGAAAAAAAAAGCAGGGTTAGTTGGAGATTATGACTAAGATTTTTCCATCAACACTTGGTTAGGGAAGAACACGGTACAGCCATATCACTATTAATCTCACTATTAATCCCTCCAGGAAACTTGCAAGTTGCAGCTACACGACCGAAGCTATAAGCGAGGCAGCGAAAAAACACACGCCTCGTGCAGCGCTCGTACACTGGGAGGGACTAATGGGCGGGCGATCGCCGCTCCCCTATACTCTATACACTCCTCCCTCCCTTCCCCTCTCCCTCCTCTCTTTCTTCTCTTCCTACTATAGTACACCACACAAATTTTTTTAAAAAAACAAAAAGTTAGAAAAATTTATGTATAAAAATACTATATATAAAAAATTTGAATTCAAATTCAAATTTGAATCGGGTATGTAAACTTTAGACTTATAAATTTTAGGTGTATAGAAATACTATATATAGAAAATATTTGAATTCAAATTCAAATTTGAATTCAAATTTAAAATTGAATCGGCTATGTAAACTTTTGACTTATAAACTTTAGGTCTATAAACTTTAGGTGTATAAACTTTAGATGCATAAAAATACTATATATAGAAAATATTTGAATTCAAATTCAAATTTGAATCGGGTATGTAAACTTTTGACTTATAAACTTTGGGTTTATAAACTTTAGGTGTATAAACTTTAAATGTATAGAAATACTATATATAAAAAAATTGAATTCAAATTCAAATTTGAATTAGATATAAAAACTTTTGACTTATAAACTTTTGGTCTTTAGATGTATAAACTTAAGGTGTATAAACTTTAAATGTGTAACTTAAGGTGTATAAATTTTATGTGTATAAATTTACTAAAGTAGAAAAGTAATACGGTGCCAAAAAAGGAAACAGGTGGAGAGAGGGAGGGAAGGGGGATTGATCGCTACCCCCCCCCCCCCCCCCCGCGTCCCAGGTGATCAATCGCCGTTTAGGATTTCCGTACTCGGTTGCTATACCTATATAGCCCGTGGGGCCAAATCAACAGGGTAAGATCGTACGGCGGCCATAGCTCTGCCGCTAATTAAACACGGCTTAATTAGTCTGCTGTGCTACGCAATGCAGATGGCGGTCTTTGGCCACGTCTTCAATTGATTGTGCCCGGCTCGGTCGACACTGGCCGTACCGACCGCGTGTGTGCCTGTGTCCACGCATGGCAATAGGCGAACTACTACCGCTGCTGCCGACTGTCGCGTTCCATCTATCCGTGTTGATTTGCAGGTGCCAGCCCCGTGCGCCGGTGCGCGGGTGGCGCGGTGGCCAACTGTGCGCGGCGAGACAGCCGAAGGTAAAGCTGCCATCCAAGTTGCGGCCGGTCGGGGGACGTCACATTCGTGCGTGTAAATACGGCATTGTTTTTCATAGATCGGGTTAAACTGATCACTGTCCACGAGATCCTGAAGAGGATAGCAGCCGACAGTTGGAATTGCAGCGTTGGCCCCACGTCTTTCCACGTAAGAGTCCTTTTGTGGGGTACTGGTACTACTACTTGTAGTAGGAAATTTTTTACACGGCCGAATCGATACAGTACCTAGAACATTCTTTCAGAATTTCTACTTTGTTATGTTCTAAAGAAGGCATAAACACTTAACCAGGTTGCTTATCGCACAGTGTCAGTTTCATGCATGAGAACATGTACAGGATACCTGTCGTAGGATCTACTGACATGTGGGTCCGATATGCGTCCGTAGACGGAAGAAGAAGTTGATGATTTTTTTTTTCTTCCAAGTAGAGAGTGGATATTCTGTAACAGTTAAAATGTCGAAGCATAAAACTATCTTTAATTTAGGTGCGGGGGTAAAAACCTTGCTCGTTCTAGAAAGACATGCAAAGGTGAAAGTTACACGCTGAAAGGTGAAAATAACGCACACGCTTTGGTCTCATCAGCTGCAAGAAAGCAGAAATGAGAGAGCAAAATGACCACAGGGAGAGGGGTACCTGATTAACCGCCGAGCCTAGCCAAAGTTACTGCAGAACAAAACGGGAACAAACAAACCAAGCAAAGCAGCACAGCAGTAGGCCCTGGCCATCGTACCACTAGGAAGGAAAAGGTGAGATGCAGATGTTCAGTTCAACGTACCAGACGGCTCGATCGATCAGTCGACTCCATCCTAAATTCGAGTACTACGTACTTGCAGTGCGTGGCTCGATCAACCGTGCAATCATTCAGCTTTCAGTACACTAAAAGCGAGGGTCCCTAAAGCCTCGGGCCATAGCAATTGCATGCAGGACAGGGCAGCCCCCGCTTAACCCCCAGCACTTAGCCTCCCACGCTTGTGCGCTAAAGCATACGCATGATCGAGTTGTACACGTCAACCTTTTTATTTTCTTTTCCATCTATCTGGAGGCCCTAGGCACTAATTAAGAGCACGATACTAAAACGATCAAACTTGCCATAATGCCATGCACGCGTTGCAACGAATTTCTCAATAACGGCACACATCATCCGTGGTGTTCATGCTGTTCTTGCATGCCAACGCAGCTTGTAGCGCGAAAACGATCTGAAAACCACTTAATTTAAGTGCTCTGGCCTGTACCGATTAATTAGCTAGTGCCGTGACCCTCGTTAGAGTGGCTTGAAGGCTCGTGCCAAATGATGGCAGCTAGTTCTCAGCAGTATGACTGTGCAGGGAGATAGAGATAAGAGGCCAAGAGCAGTGCTCGATCGAGGCTGGCTACAACCGCAAGGATAATGATGTAGCGAGGGGTGTGTCCGTTCCGTCCAGGAGGGGAGGGGGGGCAAAGCTAGCGTGCTCCGGAGAAAGCATGCAGGGTTAGCGTAGCGCGGAGACCACCAGCACCACCCGTCCACCGCGCGCGCACGGCCTCGGCAACAAGTTTGGTGGCCAATCAGGGTCAGGCTTAGCTTCCAGCCTGCTCCATGTACATGTCGAGTTCGGTTTAGTTGGGAACCCTAGTATCCCTAACGGCCGCGCACTTAATTTTTTTTAACTTGCTCTTGGCGTTGTTTTGTGCGCGCTGCAACTGCAAATGCATGCAGACACACCAAGTTGCACCAATGTGCTCATGAATTGTAATGCATTGATCTTGTGCCTTCACAGATCGATTGGAATAACGGGAAAATTGTGTTTGCAGTGAATGATCAGATCTGTGAATGCTACTGAGCATTTGTCTGATTCTCCCCTCTTTTGACTTGAGAGACTGCTACTCTGCTAGGCAATATCAGTGATCAATCACTTGCCTAACGGTGTCTACAAAAGCTAATTGCTTGGAAATAACAACACATGTGTGAGTGGCTAAGTGGTGATAGCAGTGCGGAGTCACTATAATGCTGGAGGCACAATTTTGCATGTCACCGGTAAAAAAAGGCATATTTTTCGCCAGATAAACCTGCATGAGTGAAACTCAAGAAATGTGCGTCAACGTAGTAGTGTTAACCTTCTGATAAAATGGGATGATCTACATGTTCCATAGGCGACAATGCTTCTTCTCCAATTCTTCTGACGAAGTTACCCGCGTACCAGGACCAGGGTAGGCAGCTTTTCCCTTTCGACCGAGCTTGCAGCAGTTGCTAAAAGACAAGCTGGCCTCTTTTTCACCCACAAGAAAAAAGAGGCTCACTTGAAGAAAGTTGGACAATAACACAAAAAATATATTTGTTGACAACTTGGTACTGTTATCATCCTCTCCTTCCTTTTTGTACTCTGTTTTTTTTCTTTCTTCAAGGGAACTCCAATTGTAGTACCAAGGGGGCCGGGGGCAACTGCAGTGTATTCTTGCAGTTGACGTTGATTATTTCAGAGTTCAGACAAGTGGACGGCTAAAAGAAGGAAGAATTAGGACTACCGACTACCGAGCTACGTAGCCACTATAAGGCAAGTTGTTACCGCTGCAACTTCCGCAGCACTAACTAAGACGACGACTACGTGGTAGTATGCGGGATGCATGGGCGACATGTAAAAGAATCGCCCGGCAAAGTAGTCACTAATCGATCAATTGGGAATTACCTCAAGTGCATGTCTCTATTGTGGCCAAAAGGATCCTCCAGGATTCTCCTACCTGAGGCTTGATCTTGACATGCCTCCTCTATAAAGGAAAGTACTACTAGTAAGTAAAACCCCAAAGGTGAGAGAGCGAGAGAAGAAAGAAAAAAAAAACAAACTAAAGAGGTGGTGCATCATGGTAGCTCCTCTTTGAAGTTATGCAAGCCCAAAGCTAGCAGCTAAGTGGCTGCATTACACATCACATACACATGTTACTACTAGTTTACTCATCGCCGAGCGACGACGTCACCGGCCGATATCTCTGGGCTCCCGAGGTTGGTGCGCCCGGCCGGCGCTGCCGCTACGTAGTAGTAGTAATACTAGTAGTACGAGTTAGAGGCCGTTGCTGTCACAAAAAGATGGCGTGATGTGCACTTGCCTTGCATGACTAACCTGCATGATTGAACTTGCTGCTGGCTAGCTGCAATGGAAAGCGCCTGCTCAAGCCATGCAGAACTGAACTGTGCACTAATTAATTCTCCCCTCACCTAATTCAGCTCGCCTCTCTCTGTTTTTTTTTTCATTAGGAGGCCGGACTTGCTGCATGCATGCCTGGCTGTCTGGATAGTGCGTACTGTTCCTTTCCTACCCCTCTTTCTCGCTCTCACGGCACACTGACAAGATATGGGCTAAGGTACGTAGCTAATAGCCTAATATCTAGTAGTAGTAGCAACTAAGCTAGAGCCATGGAGGTTACGCAACGGAAGCCAAGCAACATAACTAATCAGTGGTACTCTCCAGTACTGTCCAACTGTCCTGATGCTTGGAGCTTGGAAAGTTTGGATGCTAGCTGCATTTCAGAGTAAGGAGCGTCCGTACACGCAGTTTACTG